TGAAGCCCCCCCCCCCCCCCCTCTGCTCCAACCCCAGCCCCTACACCCCTCACCTCTGCTCCATCTCCCCAGGCCCCACCTGTTTCCCCCAAAACCCCTACACCCCTCATCTCTGCTACTGCTCTATCCACAGTCCCCCACCCTCACCCCACACCTCTGCTCCACCCACAGCTCCCCACGCCCCACCCCTGCTCCCACTCTACGTGCAGCCCTCCACCCCTCACCTCTGCTCCTTGCGCAGGGCCTCTGCGTGCTGCTTGTTCTCGCCGTGCCACAGCTGCAGCTCGTTCTGCATGGCATCCACGTCCTCCTGGATGTAGTCCATGATCTTCCCCAGGGGCAGCGCGCTCTTGCACAGGGTCTGGATGGACACACGGAGCTTCTCGATCTCCTTGGACACAATTTCCTTCTCCTTCTTCCATGCCGACTCAAAGACCAGCGATTTCTCCTAGTCCGGGAACAGGGAAAGCAGCACCTCAGGCAGGCAGGAGCGGGCCAGAGGAGCACACAGCGCCGGCAGGAAGGCTGGGGCCGTGCCTCGCAGCGGTGCTACGGAAGGCCCAGGCCACGGGACAGGGTCAGCGTGCGGTGCCGAGCGCCTGTGAGCACAGAGGCCGAGGAGGGCTGCTCCCTCTCCTCCCCAGGGCACAGGGGGGCTGCCTCTACCTGGAAATCTGCGAGGGGCCTATTTTTTTTCTTTTCTTTGCTTCTTTCTTTCTTAATCTTTTTTTTTAAATTTTGCTGGAGGGCACAAGGACTCCCAGAGAGAGGAAGTGAGAAAGCACCCCCAGGGAGGATGGTGGCACTGCAATGCCTTCTCCATTTCTCCCCTCCAGGGTTCTGGGCACACATGCACATGTGCACCGCATGCTGGCCGGACCATCAAGTCCAGGACTGGAGCCGTGAGTGGGCCAAGTGGGGTCCAGCCACCTCAGCCACCAAGCCGTGGGCTGGCCTGGGGCCCGTTCCTATACAGTAAGATTCCAGTTCCCAAGAGACCAGAAACTTGCTGTGGTTATGGTTACAGGGTTTAGTGACATGGTTTCGCCATGCTGGCTGGCAGGATGAGGCCCAGCCCTGCGCCCCCCCCCTGCCACTACGCCAGTGGATGCCAGCACAGTGAAACTGACCGAGGTGAGAGGTACCGGTCAGCACCTCTCCACCAGGACCTTCCAGACAACCTGGCAGTGTCTGCAGGGAGCCCTTCCTGGACCCCAGCCCCCCACTGGCTGAGGTGCTGGAGCCCCACCACTCGGGTGAGCTGCACGCATTCAGATGCTGATCAGTTAGGATCGTGTTCCAGCTTGGAACTGAACCGCGTAAGCACTTGGATCACCGTGTAACCAGGTGTGCTCCTTCAACCACAATCATTCATGGTCGAGCACATGCACAGGACAGAGGAAGAGGCACTTCCACTGGGTTTGGCCGCACCCCCAAAGCCCCCATCCGCTGGGAACAGGACACGCACACGTGCCTGGTGTGTTTTCAGGCCAGTCGCAGCAGCTCACAACACCGCAGCCTGGTGCTACCTGCCCACCACAGGTCTGGTCCATATTACTTCTTTTACTGTTTTCTCCCGCTCATGATAGAGCGTGGGCTTGGGGCAGCGCCCCCCACAGGCTCTGGTCCCACGTGACCCATTTCTTGCCGCTGTCTGGCCTGCTGACCCTGGGCACACGTGCGAGCGCCCAGTTTCTGGCTGACGTGGATGGGAGTCTGAACCACAGTCACCATGAGGGATCCAACTTCTCTTGAGCAGAGCTTCCCCACTTTGCTGAGCAGCACCCCTTCCTTCTTTTCTCTTTTCTCTTTTTCTTTTGAAGAGGTTTTTGCTAAGACAGAGAGACAGAAAGGGAGAAATCACCCCCCAGGGGGATGGCCATGCTGCAACCCCTTCCCCTCCATTCTCCTCTCAGGATCTTGAGCACGCACGCACATGTGCCCAGCGTGAGTTTAAGCCACCACAAAATCAGCGAAGAGGACAGGGATACAAAGTAAGACTCAAAAAGCTCATCAGTGAGTTCAATAGGGCTGCAGGGGACAAATGCAAACTTTCAGTTCTATATGCCAGCAATAAACACATGGACACTGCTGTTAAAAAAAAAAAAGGGGGACCAGCAGTTAGTGTAATGGCCATGTCGGACATGGTCGACCTCAGTTCGAGTCCCGGACCTGGTAGCTTAAATTCACACCAGACGCGTGTGTGTGCGTGCCCAAGATCCCGAGAGGAGAATGGAGGAGAAGGGATTGCGGCGTGGCCACCCCCCCTGGGGGGTGATTTCTCGCTTTCTGTCTCTCTGTCTCTCTCTGTCTGTCTGGGACCCTGGCCCCTTTAGCAAAAACCCCCCCAAAAAAAAAAAAAAAACCCAGCAATGCCATTACAATTGCTCAAAGAAAACTACGTGGTGTAAACCTCAGCAAGCATGTCTAGGCACTGACACTAGGATGGCCCAGTACAGAGGAGAGATCCGAGGGCACCTGAGGAAGTGGAAGGGCGTGCTGCGGTCGCGAGCTGAAGACCAGCACGGTGAGGACATCAGTTCCCGCGCTCACACAGGTCTAACCCAAATCCAGACAAAGGCTCGAGCTAATTTATTGGGGATACAGACAAGGTTATCCTAAAATTTATATGAGAAGCCAAAGGAGCTAGAGTATCTAAAACACACTGAAAAAGAATAAAGAATAAAATCAGTCTACCTGATTTCAAGACTTTTCATAAAGCTACAGTAGCCAGGACTGTGGCACGGGCAGATGGAAACACAGAGACCAATGGAGCAGAACAGAGAACTTGAAGATAGAGGCTGGCTCCATTGCCTGGTGGTTAAGGTAGCCAGATCCCACATGGCCAACCACGTAGTTCAAATTCTAGCCAGTGAAAAATATGCTGTGTGTGTGTGTGCATGCACATGCGCGAACGCACATGCCCCAAATCCAACAGGTTGGAGATATGAAGAGAAGGGACTGTGGTTTGTTGAGGAATGCTTTCTTTCTCTCTCTTCTCTCTGTCTCTCTCTGGTAAGTGTACATGCAAATTAAAAATAAAACAACAACAACAAACAAATAGATCCGGCAGGGAGACCAAGCTGACCCCAGACAAAGGTGCGAGGTAAACGAGTGAAGAAGAGCAGCTTTTCAGCAGGTGACCGTGGGGCAGCTGGACATCCACAGGCAAAAATAAAGAGAGAAGCTTGACCTAAGCTTGTGCCTTACACAGAAATGGAATCAAAAAGAACCACAGACTTAAATACAGAACATAAACATACAACTGTGATGAAAAGAAATTACAGGAGGAGGACGTCTGCGGAATCCAAGCGCTAGGCAAAGAGTTCTTAGACTCAACACTAAAAGTAGGAGCCGTAAGAGGAAAAATTGATAAACTCAACTTTATCAAAACATTAGCACTGCAAAAGGCCCTGCCTAAGGGGCTGGAAGACAAGTTACAGAAGGGAAAAAAACATTTGCAAATCATGCATTTTAATAAAGGTCAAGTATCTAGAATAAAGAACTCTCAGAACTCAGCAGCAGGGTGGGCCACGCTACCCAGGAGAGGCTGTCCGGCTTCCCAGGTGACTTCCACAGTTTGAGTCCCTGCCTGGTGGCCCTGAAACACAACAAGCACACGCCCAGCAATGCCATTACAATTGCTCAAAGAAAACTACGTGGTGTAAACCTCAGCAAGCATGTCTAGGCACTGACACTAGGATGGCCCAGTACAGAGGAGAGATCCGAGGGCACCTGAGGAAGTGGAAGGGCGTGCTGCGGTCGCGAGCTGAAGACCAGCACGGTGAGGACATCAGTTCCCGCGCTCACACAGGTCTAACCCAAATCCAGACAAAGGCTCGAGCTAATTTATTGGGGATACAGACAAGGTTATCCTAAAATTTATATGAGAAGCCAAAGGAGCTAGAGTATCTAAAACACACTGAAAAAGAATAAAGAATAAAATCAGTCTACCTGATTTCAAGACTTTTCATAAAGCTACAGTAGCCAGGACTGTGGCACGGGCAGATGGAAACACAGAGACCAATGGAGCAGAACAGAGAACTTGAAGATAGAGGCTGGCTCCATTGCCTGGTGGTTAAGGTAGCCAGATCCCACATGGCCAACCACGTAGTTCAAATTCTAGCCAGTGAAAAATATGCTGTGTGTGTGTGTGCATGCACATGCGCGAACGCACATGCCCCAAATCCAACAGGTTGGAGATATGAAGAGAAGGGACTGTGGTTTGTTGAGGAATGCTTTCTTTCTCTCTCTTCTCTCTGTCTCTCTCTGGTAAGTGTACATGCAAATTAAAAATAAAACAACAACAACAAACAAATAGATCCGGCAGGGAGACCAAGCTGACCCCAGACAAAGGTGCGAGGTAAATGAGTGAAGAAGAGCAGCTTTTCAGCAGGTGACCGTGGGGCAGCTGGACATCCACAGGCAAAAATAAAGAGAGAAGCTTGACCTAAGCTTGTGCCTTACACAGAAATGGAATCAAAAAGAACCACAGACTTAAATACAGAACATAAACATACAACTGTTATGAAAAGAAATTACAGGAGGAGGACGTCTGCGGAATCCAAGCGCTAGGCAAAGAGTTCTTAGACTCAACACTAAAAGTAGGAGCCGTAAGAGGAAAAATTGATAAACTCAACTTTATCAAAACATTAGCACTGCAAAAGGCCCTGCCTAAGGGGCTGGAAGACAAGTTACAGAAGGGAAAAAAACATTTGCAAATCATGCATTTTAATAAAGGTCAAGTATCTAGAATAAAGAACTCTCAGAACTCAGCAGCAGGGTGGGCCACGCTACCCAGGAGAGGCTGTCCGGCTTCCCAGGTGACTTCCACAGTTTGAGTCCCTGCCTGGTGGCCCTGAAACACAACAAGCACACGCACGAGTGCACGCACGAGCCCCCACTCTCAGGGAGAGGGGACTGCAGTTCACCAGACTCTGTGGACGATGCTCACCTCCCTCTGTCTCTCTCCTGTGCGTGCACACTCTACCACAATAATGAAAAACAAAGGCAAAAAAAAAGCAAACAATGCAACTAGAAAATGGACAAAGGACACAAAGACACACGTCACTGAAGAGTATACACAGATGGCCGACAAGCACGTGAAAGTATGTTCAACATTATTAACTATTAGGAAAATGCGAGTTCAAACCACACTGAGCTAGTTCTCTAGCACTATTGGCATGGCTAAGATAAAAACAGTGCGGCACCAACTGCTGGTCAGCAGAGACACGCACACTGCTCGTGACAAGGTCACTCTGGAAAACAGTGGCGTTTTCTTTAAAAATTACACATACAATTACCAGGTGACCCAGCAATTATACTCCTGGGCATTTATCCAGAAAATTGAAGACTCATATTCATACAAAAACATGCATGCACATGTTTACACGAGTTTCCTTCAGAGTAGCCATAGACGGGAAACGAGCCAGGTGTCCTTTAGTGGGC